TGTTAAATTTCTTCGTGTGTAGAACTTCAATAAGTATAACTTATAGTAGAAGAAGTAGAACTTCAATTTGTATATAAAAAAAATCGAAATAACAAGTCATGTTTTATTATAAATCTTTGCAATTCAACTTTCTTTGAGCTGTATTTGGTATCTTAGTGAGTTGTCGGGAATGGTAGGAAGCGTTGTTAAGTACTACTACACTATTTGGCTCCAAGTTTGGGATCAGTGAGTTTTCAAACCAATCTTAAAAATATCAGCTTTCATACTCTTGTGGTGTCAACGTTACAAACGTCTATTCTCTTCCCACATAATTTTAAAGCATTCGGAACCCATCCCACACTTTCTCCGTAATGTACAATAATTAGCCGAGATCTTTTATTTGCAGGCATCTTTAGTATGAATATCATACCAAGTTTAGTCTAAATAATAAATTCACCTACTATATTATGCTGCTTGTTCTAGCATTCTTTTTGTTCTCTTCCTGTCGGTCGTGTTTCTGTCTCGTATGTTATTATTGGTCTGATGACTGTTTTGTAAATTCTGCCTTTCATTTCTTTCCCGATATTTTCCAACCTGCAGCTCTATTTACTTGATCTTCCACTTCTGTTTCGAGCTTTCCGTATCTAGATAGTGTGATGCCTAGATATTTTAAACTTCATCACTCTGACCCTCTAGTTCTAATTTACATTTTGGTAGATTTACTGTTATAACCATGCATTTTGTCTTTTGTTTATTTTGTTTATGTTCTAAAACATTCAGTTTGAGAAGTTAGTATTGCGTCATATGCATAGCAAATTATTTTAAATTGTTGTTCTCTTACTTGGTATCCTTTTTTATTTCATACTTTTTTATTTCATACAGGTTGAACAATAGAATAGTCAGTGAATCTCCCTGTCGTATTCCGTTGCCAGATTCAATTGGGTCAGTTGGTTCTTCTACTTTTTATATTGCGGTTTTCACGAAACATAAACATGCTGGTTTGTTGTATTCTAATGATTTATTTGATTTACCTCAGTATAAACATAGCGTCGGTGGATTATCTTCCCGATATAAAACATGTGCTAGTATTTGTTGTTAATTTTTTTCAATTTATTTGGTTTTTAATTTTAGTCTTATATTTAATAATTTTTTGTACTCTTCTGATAATTTTTTATTTTTAATTTTTGTTTATTTCTTGGTTTGTCGCCCCTTTTAGTGCTGGTGGTTCATTATCGGCACTTTTAGCAAATAGGGATTGAAAGTAGTCTGTCCATGCTTCCTTCTGAACGTGTGTCGTTTCTATTACTTCGTTCATTTCTTTTCTTTGTCCTCTGATCATTCGTCATATTTCTTTTTGTATTCTGTAGAAGGTGTGTTTCATCTGTTTTAAGAACCTTTGCCAGTGAAAATAAAATGAATGCGGTTTTCTTCAAATTGTGTGTCTTATGGTGTTCTGTTTGTGATAATTTTCTTACTGATGATCATTTCAGTGCTTCTGTGATAGTTCCTTGCTTTAGTTATTTCAATAGTCTATAAATGGGTGTAAATGATGTTCCTGTACAAGGGTGTCATGTACATTTAACACTACAGTCGCCGAATGCATTCTTAAATAACACTTACGGTTTATTCTGATACAACGAAAATCCGTTCCAACAAATAGATGATGGTTTCTCGCATCGCCCTTCCGAGTGTCGGAGTGTTCTAACAAAAATTGTCATGTTTCATGAGGATCATTTCAGTAATCGGGCAAATACAAGCACTCGTTGGACTGCCATCCCCACTAGGATTTTATTCTTTAAATTTTTGGGCTTGGATTATACAAGCATTTACTCAAACACTTATTTTATATTAAAACTGAAATTTTCTTCAGAAAAAAGAAGTGAGATTAATGAATTTGTCACGTGCTCTTGTTATTATTTTCGTTATTTATAATTTTATAATATGACTGACGACGAAGAAGGCAGCCAATTTTGTTTTTAACATCCAATGTTTATTGCAATCTGTCTCATTACAAACAATAAGCAATATGTATAATTTATGTACAATAACATAGTGGGAAGCCGCCCAGTGGCAAGCACCCAGGTAAGACATAATATAAATATAATATATCATATAACAATTAATTTAAACTTCAACTTAACAAACAAAGTTTAATACAGATAAACATCACTGACACACATATAAGTATTACAAAACTAAAAAAATGAAAAAAAAAAGAAAAAAAATCAAGAAAAGATTTAGAAAACACCAGAATAAAAACTTGTTATTTCACCGCACTATGACACTATGCTCTGTTTATCCATGTTTACTAGAGGTCCAAAGGATCTGGTCGTTTTAATCTTCTTTCGTGTGAAATGTTGAGCAAATCCGTGGCTAGCTGATTTGGATGGCAGGATAGTCTGGTCTTGTATACAGCGTTTACGGCAGATATCGCTTCGCTAACTGTTGGTAACTGTAAATCGTGGTGTAATCTGTGGTTCGTAATGTACCAAGGGGCATTGCAGATCTGGCGCAGTACTTTCGATTGGAATCGTTGAAGTTTTTGTATGTTGGTATTACTTGCTGTACCCCAGATTTGTGCTGCATATTGGCATACCGGTTTCTAATATATATTAGAAGTTTATTCTCCAGGCTTAGATTAGATTTTCGACTCATGTACCAATACATTTTCCTGCAGATTAAGCTGAGTTGAAGTCGTTTCTTCCATATGTGAATACCCCAATGGCAGTGGAGTGTTGTTTATTGAAACTGGTGGCGCGACACCTTTTTTTAAAGTAAACGTTATTTGTGTTGATTTTAAACTGTCAACTTGGACTCGCCAGAGTTTAAGCCAGCTCTCTAATTTAAGTAGGTGGTTTTGTAGTACCTGGGATGCTTCATTTGCTGTAGAATTTGAAGCCATGATAACTGTGTCATCAGCATATTTAGCGATTGTTATATTGGTCGTCGTTGGTAGATCTAATGTGTATATTAAGTAGAGGGTGGGTCCTAGTATGCTTCCTTGTGGAACTCCGGAACAAATTGGAAACAGGTTAGTGATTTCCCCACCTCTTTTGACTTGAAAGAATCGATCTGTCAGATAGGATCTTACAAGTGAGCTTATGGGATGAGGAAATATGGATTTAATTTTAGAGATAAGACCTACATGCCAAACTTTGTCGAATGCTTGAGAGACATCTAGAAATGCAGCAGTACAGTAATTTTTTTGTTCGAGCGAATTTATGATAGTCTTTACCACCCTATGAATTTGCTCGATAGTACCATGTTGTTTCCTAAACCCAAATTGATAATTCGGTAAAACATTACCGTCATATAAAATAAGCTCCAGTCTTCTTAGAAAAAGCCGTTCAAATACTTTGGATATAATAGACAACAAGCTAATTGGGCGATATGAAGATACTTCCGTGTGATCTTTATTAGGTTTTGGAATAAGAATAATTTGAGCAACTTTCCCTTGGAGTGGAAAATAACCTGTTTCTAATATTGAATTAAATATGTAAGTAATTAAACTTACGCCTTCGTTGGGTAGATTTTTTAGTACTAAACTAGATATTAAGTTATATGCAGGTGACTTTTTATTTTCCAGATTATTAATTAATTATTTCTTTGATCTCAGATTTCCTAATAGATTTCATGAATAGCCTCTTCTTCAACTGAGACTTCCCTCTGATGCGGTTGAAATACCTCGTATAGATGATTTGCAAAAGTATATGCATTATCTATCTCAGTTTTAGCCCAAGGAGGCAGCCAATATAAGTTTAAAGTATTTATATGTAAGTTTATTTATAATGTATATTCTTAGCCCATAGACGTATATATTAACATACAACTTAGCAGTCTGTAGAACTAAGTGACAACACCATCTTTTTTCGTTGTTTGTTGTATCTCTGTCTTACATCAAGTAAGTATACCAGCGTTTATTTTTGGCAATGAAAGAGAGAGAGAGAGAGAGAGAGAGAGAGAGAGAGAGAGAGAGAGAGAGACAGAGAGAGTAGTTGCAATGCGCTAGAGAGGGGAGATCGAACAACCGTAAGAGATCTTGTCGTCAGTATGCTATGCCTTAGCCATGTGCCTAACCTGCAAATATCGTACAACAAATTGACTGCGTAAAGCAACGAGTTGTCGCCAAATGATGTCAGTTGTCAGATAATCGTTGCAATATCGATTTTCGAATTACCATCATCGGACGATACAAATCATGAACATGCGTTTAAAAAACGGTATAAGTAGTTTCGTACGATTTCTGGGACTTACAAAAATTGCGTGTTGGAACAAACCTTTGATTTTACAGGAGTAAAATTAGATGGCTGTGTCATTTTTACTGCCCGAGTTCACTTAATATTGCTTATTATCTCTCAGATCTACAAACCCTCTTGATTTTGTAAAATACTGAAACATGTAATGACAGTAGATGCTTGCAAAGAAGCTGAATTAGCAACTCTGAATCAAAATAACTGCCCATTGTGGCACGAGTTCAGGTATAGAAGGATCACATCTTTAAAAGCTTATGAATCTGCATATTGCAATGTTTTTTATAGAACTTACCTCAGACCATATTGGGGGCAAGTAAATTAGGGACATAGAGTGTCCCTTTAGAGTGTAACTTTAGATGCCGTACTAGAATTTTTACAGACATGCCTTTGTTTTCTATAATAACTATCACAAAAACTGTGGCACCTACTCTTCTATTAACAGTCTATTACGATACTCAGAAATGACTAATCAATTTTATGATTTGGTCGATATAAAATCTATACGATTTAATCACTCTTTGACTAAGTATATTAGAGATCGAAGATGAGTGACCTTTAACTTCGCATGGTCATTTTGTTTTAATAATATTTAAAGGAAAATTTAATTTATTTTAATTTAATCATTTGTTTAACATTATTTAGTTTTTAGTATTTTTGTTATGGTTAGAATATTCTAGTTTTGTTAAATTTGTGTAAATCCTGTGAATAAATAAATAATTTCAATTTGAGTTTATATTATATTCGCTTATACGTATTTCATCCTAACAGGAATCATCAGAGCGACTGGTACAGAAGTTTTAAACGTGAAATCAGATCTTTTCCGTCAAAAGAAGCAACAATAAAATGGCTTCAATATGGACGCTATAGCGACATCTGAAAATAAATCATCAAAGTAGAAATGCGAAGATTTCTATTGACCAAACCAAAATTCAGATTTTTGCTTTAACCTGTGCCCTCTGTAAATTGCAAGACAAAACAGACCATGCTAAAAGATGCAAGAGAGATATGAATATTCTAAAAGTTGCATTTAACAACATATCTCCTGATTCAAGCAAATATCCTTGGCGAATTGGTTTCTAATACTCATAAAGAGTAAAACCGAAATAAAAGAAAAAAACAGTTAGATTTGATTTCACGTATAGTGCCTCTGTATATTCGCTTATATTATAGCCTAAAAAATGCGAAGATTACCCTACTATAAGCCTCATGAGTTATCTTCTAAAATTGTCCCTAAATATAATTCATAAGAGAATCTGTGTGAAAGTCAAATTTCCCTAAACCAGTTCGGGTTCACAAATGCTGTTCGTACTAGAGAGGTTTTGTTCTCAGTATAATTCTTATTCCAGAGATGCAGAGATGTCAACTGCGACGTATACGCATGTCTGGTTGATTACGAGAAAGCGTTTCATTGACTACAGCAAATACTAAAAGAAAAACAGGAATTTACAATCAAGATCTGAAAATAATTAGAAATTTTTATTGGAATCAGATAGCAGATCTCAGAGTTAAAGGTGAACTCACTGACTATGTGAAAATCATGCGTGGAGTGAGGCAAGGCTGTATTTTGTCTCCTCTAAACTTCAATCTGTAATCTGAAAGAATATTTATCGAAGCTTTTCACGAAACTGAAAAAGGTATTTTACTAAATGGTTACCGGCTAACTAACATCAGATATGCAGATGACACCATAGTATTTGCAGACAACTTAGCAGACCTACAAGTTCTTATGAACAAAATCACGTATTACAGACAACAATACGGACTCAATATAAACGTTAAGAACACAAAGCTTATGATAATTAGCAAGAAAAGGATAACAGAAGGATAACAGAAGGTCAGAAGGTCAACTCTACGTCAACTAATCCACTGTAGAAAGACTGACGCATTACAACTATCTCAGCACCATAATAAATGAAGTATGAACCAACAACCAGGAGGTTAGAGCACGCATCGGAAAAGCTAGTTCCACCTTCAATCGGATGGTTTCCTTCTTCAAGAGTCACAACCTCTGTCTTGATACAAAAGTAAGAATGCTGCGATGCTACGTCTTCTTTGCCCTTTTTTATGGCGTTGAATCGTGGACCTTGAACGAAGATATATGTACAGAAAACTGGAAGCATTTGATATGTGGCTGTATCGGAGAATGAAAGATCCCGTGGACTGACCGAGTCACAAATGAGGAGGTCCTCAGAAGAATGACTAAGAACCAAGAGGTACTGACCACCATCAAATCTCGAAAATTACAGTTCTTCGGACATATACGAAATGAATCCAGATATGCTCTCCTTCAAGGCATCCTGCAAGGAAAAATATTTGGAAAACGAGGTCCAGGAAGAAGAAGAACATCTTGGTTAAAGAATCTGGTTCAATACAATATCTGTGCTGCTTGTCCGCACTGCTGCAGATAAGATAAAGATTGTCATGATGATTGCCAACATTCGTAACGGATAGGCAAAACAAGAAGAAGATATTCGCGTATACGTATTTCATCCTACCAGGAATCATTAGAGCGGCTGATGCTATGCTGAAATCGCCAAGGATTTTTGCCTAGATGAGGAAATATGTTGTGGAATGCAACGTTTAGATTCTCCATATCTATCTTACATCCTTTAGCATCGTCTTTTTTGCCTTGCAATTTATTAAAGGCACATTTTAACGCAAAAATCTGAATTTTGGTTCCTTCAATAGAAATCTTCGCATTTCTACTTTGATGAATAATTTCAATTTGATGTATCTATAATGTTTATTTGATATTGTATGAAAATTATGTATGAGATTCAATAAAACAAATTAAAATGATTTTTTTCATTTGGACTTTTTTTTATAATTGTGTAGATTACAATAAGTGTTATCATTACTGAAATAGGTGTCTTAGAGGAGATTATTCTTTATATGATATTATCCTTTCTTTAATCCTACAATCCTTTTAGGTTATGTTTTTCTCCTTGCTATTTCATTATATAATTCAATAGAATTTGCCATATCTTCGTTATCTTGCCTAAAATAAATATAATAAGTCATTAAAATTACGGTAAAAATAAGTACTTACTATTGATTAATTCACATGACGTCGAATATAAATATAACATACACTCATTAAAATAATCTTCACAACAATATAAACATGACATTGGAGATACATTATCTCTTCTCATCATCATTGTTTTCATAGTTTTGTATCGATTGGAATACGAAAATACAATTTATTGAGTGTACTTCTAATTAGTATATATAATATATTATATAATTATATATAATTATTTAATTATATATAATATAATTATATTATTTATACACAGTGCTTTTGCACTGGGGTACCATACAATACTTGTAAGGTTTTTTTTTTGAAAACTGAAAATATATGTTAAATATGATGAAGTAACTAAAACGCTTATATTAGTAAATACATATGATACTAAGACTAGAAGATAAGATATTGCGCATAAGTCGTGACGTCATTGGAGAGTTTGACGTTCGAAATGTCAGTTTTTTTGTATGTATCAATAAATAATCTTTAATAAATAGTTTGGAGATATCCTTATGTGTACGATTATTGTAATTATTAAACCTCTTAACTTATTTTCGTCTAATAATTTCATCACATAATGCATACAAATCCCACTTAACTTTAACAAGAATTTAAATTCTACTCTCCAATGACGGCATGCGCGAACACGACCTATTTTGTGCTTCGGGAAGATCCTATCTTGTTATTATAGTATCATGCATGATACTATGACCACAGAATAATAAACAATCAGAAGGGCCACTCTCAGATGCCGCCTTTGAGGTTTTTCAGCACGCGCGCCATGTTTTAGAAGGACACAAACATATGATTTGTGAGGTTATGCAATTGTTTACATTTATGTTTAATTATATTATATTTATGTTATTATATTTAAAACTGTTAATATAATTGTATAGTATGTCTATGATTGCCGTAAGTCAAATAAACCTGTTTTTTTTTCCATGCACACCACATAAACAACACTGGTTCCCTTTAAAATCCTCGTAAAACATGGCGGAACGTCTGCGTGAAGGAGATGCGCGTACTTAATTTTCCGTGGAGAGTGGGCATTCTGTTTGTTTATTATTCTGTGCTATGACTATAAGATAAGATATTGCGCATGTTTTTGTGACGCCATTGACGAGTTACACGTTCGAAATGTCAGTTTTTTGTATGTGTCAATAAATAATCTTTAATGAATAGATTGGGAATATCCTTATGTGTACGATTATTGTAATTATTAAACCTCTTAACTTATTTTCGTCTAGTAATTTCAACACAGAATGCATACAAATACCATTTAACTTTAACAAGATTTCAAATTCTACTCTCAAATGACGGCATGCGCGAACCCGACTGATTTTGAGCTACGGGAAGATCCTATCTTGTTATTCATAGTATCATGGTATCATGAGTAAACAAACATTAACGTGACGAATGACATCACCTAAAGCGCTCTAAATGACAGCGTTTGTATAGTTCAAAATAATTCAAAGTTTCTAATTTCACTTTAATGATTTTAAATATAATTATATTTTTTTACGTTATAAAGATCTAAATTATTAATATCAGACATAAAAAAATCATGCATATTCCCTATTCTGCACGTTATGTTTCAAAGTCTAAGCAGACAGAAATGTAAATCTTAACTGAAATAATTGACAATTAGAAATTTTGCGTCGATTGCAAAGTTTAATATTTTTCAAGATACGACGGTGCTTCTTAATGAAATTTTTTTCTCTGAACAAATTATGTAAATATCTATATTAATGGTTTATTAAAATGAGGTTGGGAATTCTCAGCTGTGTCATAAAAATGGTCCTATCAATAATTTTAAAATGGAGTAGAGTAAAAATACTTATCTCTTTATAGTTATAAATGCATTTTTAACATATTTATAAAAATAAACACATTTCTGTTTTATTTTTAGTTGAAATATTAACTCATATTATTTTTTTCAGAGAGAGTAAGGCAAATTCAAGAAAAATTGGAAGAATTTATACAAGCATTAAACAAAGAAAAATAAATCTAGATGTATTTTAAGTTTTAAAATATACTGATACATTTTATACCAAAAATTGTGTGAAAAACTTTTGTGAATACATACTAATACAACTACATTTATGTATTTTAAGTATCGTACAACTTAAAATGTTCATTAAAAGTTATGCATAGACCTTTTCAAGTTGCTTTTATATTAAACAGATAATATATTATGAAATATTTGAAAGATTTTAAATAATTTATTTTCAAATTTCTCGAAAGTTATAGTCTAAGATCCCACTGAAGGATCATTACATTCATAACGTAGTTAATCAAACTTTACATTTTACATACAATTATTAAAATTAGGAGACTACATTGATAATAGTTGCCAGCAAAAAGTGGTCGCAAATATTTTTAATTCAATTAATATTAATTAATTTTTGAGCAAAAATTGTATTTAGTTCATATATTTTTTAAATAAAATAAATAAATAAAATACGCTGCTCATGACATATATGCATGCTTTTTATGTCAAATTGAAGCTAGTTTTTAATGTTTAATATATGATAATATAAGGTTACCTAAGAAAACCTGGTCTCAAATCAGGGTTGTCAGCTGTTAAAAACGCAACAAAGATAAAGCAAAAGGCAGCTAGCGCGCAACGCTACTGGCACAGAATAAATAACAATCAGAATGCCCACTCTCAGATGCCGCCTTTGAAGTTTGTTAGCACGCGAACGCCATGTTTTAGACGGAAACATAGACTCGAATTGAGAAATTCGTGAGCTACGACAGAACTTTAATTTAAATTTATATATATATATATATATATATATATATATATATATATATATATATATATATATATATATATCCGGTTTTTTAGGCGTTACGCCCGTCCGGTAGGGATCTATGGAGGAGTATCACCAAGCCGCAAGCCCTTATCTCTTGCCGTACTGCTCCACCATAGGCCGATCAGATCCCAGCATATCCTGGTCTAAGCCGCAGATTCATCTAGAATTTTAAACTGCTGCGTTAGACTTTTTGTTTTCTGTACACCGAGCTGGGGCTCGAACCCACATCCACTGAACCATTCGACAGTGAAGCGAATGAGAGGCAACCGCACAGCCCGCTGAGCTATCTGACCGATTAATTTAAATTTTTAGAGATTAATAATTTAGTCCATTTGAAATAATTTAATCCATTCTTCAACTGAAAGTACAATAAAATAGTGCATATTATGTCTATAGTTGCCGTAAATTCAACCGGGTTAATTTGTCTATGCACACCAGATAAAATATTACTGAGCAGCACTGGTTCCGACTAAAACCTGGCTGATTCCGTCTGCGCGTACTTATTTTTTCAAGAAGAGTGGGTATTCTGATTGTTTATTATTCTGTGCTACTGGTTTGAAGTGTTAGTTGTGTTAGTTTTTAAGTCATGTGTTCGATAGGTCTATAATAATATACATATTATGACTTGTCAAGCCAGTGTCCTTGTCCGCTAACTTTATTTTACTTTATCTTTGATACCTCACGTTTTTAACAGCTAGCAAATCTAATGTGCGAAATTTCTTTCTCATGCATCCTTCATTTGAACACAGAATAATAAACAATCAGAATGCCCACTACCATAGAAAATTAAGTACGCGTATCTCGTTCGCGCAGACGTTCCGCCATGTTTTAAAGGGAACCAGTGAAAATTTATGTGGTGTGCATAGAAAAATAACCCGGTTTAATTGACTTACTGCAATCATAGACATACTGTACAATTATATTAACATTGTTAAATATAATAACATAAATATAATATAATTAAACATAAATATAAACAATTACTTAACCTCACAAATCATATGGCTGTGTTACATGATACTATAACAAAACAAGATAAGTCAACGCGCATGTTCTTGTGACATAAGCCTGAGACAAGTTGTCAAAATGCCAAATTGACACAATTAATGACAGCAAGTTAAACTTTAAAATTAAATTAAAATTTTTCATTTGATGCAATTCTAGTTATATAAATAAAAATTAATATTAATAACAGCAGAGAATTAATATATCAATATTAATATATATATATATAATAATATAATAATATCGATAATAATATATAGATACTAATGCCCATTTTAATAGAACTTGAAGTAATACTTTATTTTTGATAGGTCTTTAAAAAAGTTACTTTGGATGTATATAGTGAACTGGAACATATTTTTCGTAGTTATAATGGCGACACATTAAAAATAACAAAAAATTATTTAAAAAACTTAATAGAAGCTGCAAAATATGTAAATGTTAGCGAAAATGTAAAATTACTTTTTTTAGATGTAAAATGTATTTTAAAATACAAATTCTAAATCAAAATATTAAAGATAATTACAATACTACAAAAGAAAAATCACAAAGATTGTAAAATAAATGTCTAAATAATATTCATAAAGTCTCAAGTTTGACCCGCTTTTCCTTTATGGTCAAATTGTTTACATTTTGCCAGCCTTTTATATTTAATTTATGTTTTGTAGCAATACTTCTTTTGTTTGTAATACACACAATCAATCGTAGATTCATATATGTCTTTAATTAATTTTACACATTACTTATTAATTTTCAAAACACGTTTTTACAGAAAGTAACTAGTTATGACTTATTAGTGCAAGATATGGCATCGAGGTATACTTACCGTTGACAGTTTAAGTTTTGAAGTTGTTCATTACAGTAATGGAACAACGTTGCCATATGTTGCATCGTTAAAATATGATACAAACAAGTCCCCTAGCTTTG